AAGTGTTGACAAAACAAAAGAAGAAACAACAACATATCAGCAATTATAAAACACAAAAATCATGTGAAAAAAAAGTAACATATTAAACCATTGTTTTATCAAACTTGAAATTAATGAATTATATAAATATTTATTATTTTAATTTAATTTGATCCAATTAAAATTTGACAACAAATAGAGATATAGGTATGTTCTTTACATTAAATTTTTAGTTTAGAAGGCAGAATTCAACAACAACAACAACAAAAATATCCTAACAGAGAAAACATATTTATGTGCCTGGACTTCTAACTCAAAACCTAGCTACTAAGATAAAGCCATTGTCATTTCCCCTTGTGACAACTAGCCCCGCTCTCCACTACATTAATCCACAGAAATGAGAGGCTCAGCTGAAAATAATTATATTCTAAAAAATAGACCCAGAATGTTGGATGTTAGCTTTTGAATGGTTATAGTCAATGCGGAGGACAGATTCCTCATGCTTAATAGCCTGTCCTTTGAGGCATCCATTCACCTTTAATAAGCCCAGAAATAGTATGTGGTTGGTATGAGAAGAATGTCTCAGATAAGATTCTCTGCACTTGTAATAAAAACTGACTCAGATCTCTGGAATTTTGAGACTGGATAATGAAGACAGACATTGCAATTAATAAATAAAACTCCTTTTTAAATTCCTATATACATTATATAGTTATTAAAGTCGTCAGATTCATTCCATTTTTAATTGTTTTTTATGTCTGAATTTATACATCATGAAGACTGCAAGAATCCTGTCATGTTCACATTTATTAGTCAAGGCCTTGACATAATATTTTCAATGAAACACAATCTTGTAGGAATAAACCACAGTTTCACTCTTCATGCTTGTCAACTGCCCTCAGTTGCATAATTCTGACTATACAGAATGTTTTGTAAACTCAGAGGTCATTGAATGTGACATGGTTTTCAGCACCAAATTCTGAAATTAGATTTTACTTTGTAGTTTTTGAATCTTGCACTGCACTGTATCCCATTAGTTCCTGAAAGCAAAAGCAGGGCATGAGGTTTCCTTCCCAAAGAATCTTTTCTTCTGAAAGCTCCACCATCTCTCTGTTTGACTCTCTTATCTAGGGAGCCACCAGGGCCACCTTAGATGTTGAGAAATATGAGTGTGAACCTAAAATAGCACGTCTGCAAGAAAATGTGTTTAGAATTTCATATCTTTCTAACAACAGATTATGAAGCAAAATCGCTGCACGGTTCCTCTGTGCTAAAGTTTAAGATTTCAAACAGGTTGTAATAGAAAGCTGAATCATGGGTCTGGTCAAGATGTTCAATCACAATCCTACAAATATTTGGACATGTTCAATTTAATCTCCATGTGTAATGAGCAAAGGGAATTAAAGAATCAAGGATGTCCACTATCAAAGATCCAAGGGATGATCGGTGTTCTTGGACAAACTCAAATTGGACTTTGCACTCAGATAACTGCAAAATTTAGTGCCCATATTGCCTGCTCTGACGCTCTGGCCCTGACAGCCCCACAGGGTAAGACTGATTATCATGAGAATAATTGAGAAAGAGGAAGAGTCAGTGCTGCTTTTAATAGAGCTGTTTCTATCTTCATACTGATAAATAATGCACAGCAGTCAGCATATTTGGATTTAACGGATGATATTGACCTTTTTGGGCAGATAGTGAGTGGGGTGTGAGACGAGCAGAGAGAGAGAAACTGAGAGAAGGAACTAGAGAATGAGAATGAATTAAGAGTGAGAGAGGGTTGGAGAGAGACAGCCTTGAAGGCCAAGCAATCAATCATGCTGATATTGTTGATTTGCTTTGCATATTGTTATGAAAATAACAAACAAACATAGATTATAATGTGACAGTCAATTTAACATTGAAGAAATCAGTCACTGTTTACTTGGAAGCAGCGCAACACAGCCTTTATCCATCATTTATGGCTACATTGCATGAGCTATCACGTGAAATACAGGTTTGATGTTTTATAGTAAGTAACCCACCCACCATTATATTGTCGCTTATAATGTTATCTGTCAAATACAGCATGTTATAAAACAGTCCCCAAATCTTATTTGCCTAGAGATAACGGTCCAAAAGCAGCCAGTGGTGGAGCTTTTTAGTGACTCTTTCAGCAGGTTACATTGTTACACCAATAGGTGACAAATGAATCACTGAGTCGTTAATTTAGTAGGACATCCTGGTACTTTTTGCCTCCTTTTTTATGAATAATGTGAATTCGGACATATTGCTCTATTCACATACTGTTTTAGCCTACTAGCTGGGACAAATGCGAATTCAGATGCAGCCCTCGTCTTTAGAAATGAATGATTGAATCATCCAATCAACCGATTCGTTCAACAAAACTGCAGTGAGTTGCTTGGAAATGTGTGCAATGGTTAATTTTGCTTTTATGTTTGGAAATATTTTCATGTTTCTAAAATGTAAGTCACTCGATATTAATTTTTCGTAGATCATGAAATTTTCTTCCTTTTACCTGCTGCATGGAGCTGACAAATCACAGCCTTGCTTTTAGAAGTATAGCACTCTTGATTGTTTGATATTGCTTAAAAAGGGTGTAGTTCCAAGCAATGTTATCATAAGCTTTCCAGTCACAGATCTGCAAGACATTTATCATTTTTCTCTCTCATTCTTGATCACTCCTCTTTTGTCCCAGCTACCATCACACTGTATGTCAACACTTTCTCACTATGCCTGTCTGATTCTTTTATTTGGATAGTTTGTGCCCTTTTGGATGTAATGGATGGCTCTCATCCCACCTTTTACCACTGCAGGGACACAAATCCACTGGCATTAGAAGTTATAACGCATTATATCATCATCTGACACTATGGAGCAATTGTGAAGTGATTGCTTTTTTGGAGCAGTAATATCACAAAGTCAAAAAACAAGAGTTCAGCTTTGGGTCATTTCACAAATATGATGGTTAGTCCCAGTGGTAAGTTTCATATAAATACTCACTATTACGTCTAAACATCACTATTACGCCAAATGTTTATTTCTATGGGAGTATAAGTGCTCACTGAGCGACCAGTAAGTTCAGGTGTTTCGTAGCCTACTTAATGAAGTCTTTCGTCTCTTAATTTAGGGCTTCCGCTATCAACAGCACACCTGTGAACACCACCAAAATGCAGTAACAAAATGTTATTTGGAGTCTGACATTTACTAAAGAACAGCTCCATCTAGTGGATGAATCAGATAATTTGTGATTTGTGTTGTGTGTGTGTGTAAAACCTCAGCATGTCTAAAATCTCAGCATGTCTATGAAGTAGTAGTTTGACCTAGAACTGTTATCTACCATAAAATATTATTTAAAAAATGTATACGAAATAAAACAGCTGATATAAAAAACAGTTTGGCCTCCTGCTGTTGACAATCAGTATTCTGAACCCTTTTTTCAGGCCCTATTTTGTGCCCCACATTACATTAGTACATTATCTACAAGGTTAAAAAAAAACAATGAGAAGTATTCATCAATACATTTCATCTATTGGGGGGCTGGTTTAAATTCATTAACCACATTAAACACAAAAGCTTGTATAGAAGAGTGTAGGTAGTCATGTGTAAGTCCTCCCCTCACTGCGAACGTGCGAAAGAATCGTAGCTTGCTTCATATTTGAAGCCTTCAAATGTATGAAGCAAGCTACGTTACATGCAAAATTTTCAGCGAAACAGATTTGTACAATATAAAAGTCCCTCGATCAGAACGGTACTGAAACCGAAAAATATCTTGGAAAGGGGAAGGCTAAATAATTCTGTGTTTTTGTGTAAAATTCTAAAATTCGCCAATGATTTGTTTAAAATGACACCTTAACTAATAAATGACGCAAAATTATACTTAATTTAAACATTACATATTTACAACATATTGTAGGAATAATTACACTTTGTAAAACATGCTGGTTCTTAACTATTTATAGGCAAAAAAAAAAGTAACTATCCAAACTCAGATGCATAAAAACTATAATATGAATTAATAATAATTTTAAATAAATAATAAATAAAAAGTGTCTATAAAGTAAATTCTGCATTCTTTTTGAAAAAAAAAAAAAATTATAATCACAATCATATTTCACAACTTTTAGATACCTTTGTAAAGTATACCTTTTTTTCTGTCCAGAAATGCTTTTATTCTAACCTGTATTTATCACAAAAACGTCAGTTATGCCTTCATTTTATAGCATTGCAAGTGTGAAAAGCTTATTAACAATAAGAACAGCAAGCCCTTTTCATATCTTACAATTTTTACAAATCAATTGTTATTTGTACAATACAGGATGGAGGGAGACGCATACATTGACGTTTATTCTAAAGACGTACAGCTTGACATGATCCGTAGTTTGTTTCTCGGCCATATTTATGATTCTGGCAATATTTGTTGCAGGGGTCAAAGAAAGCGGAGGTCTTTCCTGGAGAAGGGGGGGAGAAAGAAAGAAAGGTCTACTCAGGAAAAAAGGTGGTCCCACTCCAAAAACACCGTTTCCAGAAAAGAAAGAAACTCATACTAGAACAATTTGAGGGTTAGTAAATTTCAATGATGACAGAATTTTCAGTTTTGGTGAACTATCCTTTTAATATACAGTGGTGTGAAAAAGTGTTGGCCCCCTTCCTGATTTCTTATTTTTTTGCATGTTTGTCACACTTTAATGTTTCAGATCATCAAACAAATTTAAATATTAGTAAAAGATAACACAAGTAAACACAACATGCAGTTTTTAAATGAAGGTTTTTATTATTAAGGGAAAACAAAACCCAAAACTACATGGCCCTGTGTGAAAAAAGTGTTTGCCCCCTAAACCTAATAAATGGTTGGGCCACCCTTAGCAGCAACAACAGCAATCAAGCGTTTGCGATAACTTGCAATGAGTCTGAAATCAGGAAGGGGGCCAACACTTTTTCACACCACTGTATATGCGTTATATGCATAGTAGTCTATTCTAAGTAGATTTCTAAATTAATACTTTTTTTTTTCAGATTTACTCTCTTGTAATTTTCACATCGACTGGATTTCAGGCCATTCTGGGTTGTGGTTTGGAGAGGTAACCGACTGTGGGACTGGACGTGTCCCTTTGTGGCTTTTGCCGGTGTGGCACTGCACCGTGCACCGATTGGATGTTGCCTGGGAGATGAGGATGTGCTGCTGGCACCAGGAAGGAAGGATTTTGATGTGATGGGGTGCAGGACGAGCAAAGTCCTCCCAGAGCCACCCGCTGATGTCCAACTTGACTTAGTCAAAAAAGTAGAGCCACATCAGACTGATGTCTATAAAAACTTCATTAAAAGTGACGGCGGCGGGGCAAAAACAGGCTCGCCATCCCCTCAAGGTCAAAGCCAGGCTGCTGCGAAGGTGAGCCAGTCCCCTCCTCCAGCTAACAGCCAGACGGAGCCTGCTGACCCACACCGGAAAAAAGTAGCCAAATACAGGGCCAAATTTGACCCTCGAGTGACTGCTAAGTATGATATCAAAGCTTTGATAGGCCGGGGCAGTTTCAGTCGGGTAGTACGAGTAGAACACAGAAGCACACGGCAGCCATACGCCATCAAGATGATCGAGACTCGCTACCGTGAAGGCAGAGAAGTATGTGAATCTGAACTTTGCGTCCTGCGACGGGTGCGCCACACCAACATCATTCAACTGATGGAGGTGTTTGAGACGGCTGAGCGGGTCTACATGGTGATGGAGTTGGCCACCGGCGGAGAACTGTTCGATCGCATCATCGCCCGTGGGTCTTTCACAGAAAGGGACGCCACGCGAGTGCTGCAGATGGTTCTCGATGGGGTGAAGTACCTCCATACGTTGGGCATCACGCACAGGGACCTAAAGCCTGAAAACTTGCTTTACTACCATCCTGGTGCTGATTCCAAGATTATGATCACAGATTTTGGCTTGGCCAGCACACGGAAGAAAGGCGACGAATGCCTGATGAAGACTACATGTGGAACACCTGAGTACATCGCTCCTGAGATACTCGTTCGAAAGCCGTACACTAATGCAGTAGACATGTGGGCGCTGGGAGTCATCTCCTACATACTGCTCAGTGGCACCATGCCTTTTGAGGATGACAATCGCATGCGCCTGTACCGACAGATCCTCAAAGGGAAATACAGCTTCTCCGGGGAGGTAAGAACAGTGCGACCACTTTAACTCTGTGTGCTGTGCTCAAAATCGTTTACCTAATTTGGTGTTCCTGGTCAAAAATGTCCGGCCTTTTAAAAATTGCTTGTAAATCTCTCTTTATATCAACTTGTTTTCTTTGAATCAACACAGGTTTAGGAACTGATTGGTTGTAGGCCTCATTGATCTGAGCTTATTGCACCTCCATTTTTGAGTGGGGAAATTTATTTTTTTTGTGGATAATTTTGGCAGTGTTCATTAAAAAACTGAAGTGCTCAGATCAGTGAGGCCTATGATCAATGAGTTCCAAAAAGAAATACAAAACCTGTGCTAATTAAAAGAAAACTAGAAAAGTTGATTAAAAAGATTCAATCCATTATTTGGTAATAGTATAGCACAGTGGTTCTCAATTCTAGTCCTCGCATACCACTGCTCTGCACATTTTGTATGTATGTCTTATCACTTCAGACGTTTGTTCTATTCAACCGTAAGTGCCCTGCGAAGTGGACTTCACAGGATATTCCACCATGATTCCAGTGCGAAGGGAGTGTATATGTTCCATTCAAAGGGCATTAAAATGTGCGAGTTGTGAATTTAAATTGTATTTATTTACAGAGGTATATTATTTCACACTTCACACTTCTCTAGTAAGTTTCGTCTGTGTGTGAAGACGCTGCAGGCAGTGGTGTACACTGTAAAAAAAATTGTGTAAAATTTACGGTAAAAAACTGGCAGCTGTGGTTGCCGGAATTTTACCGTAAAAAATATGGTAGCAACGTTTTAGGTTTTTACGGCTTTAACTTAAATTTACAGTTAAATACCGTAATTTCATTAACTGATATAATGTTAATATACCAACCGGTTATTATACCCTGTGTGAGCAAAGTAGGTTTTAGTCCACTACCATTTTGATGATATGCATCTGTTGTACACATTCTACATGCTGCATGAAAATATGAATGCTGAATCTTTAATAATGTTTGTAATCTAAAGTCAAAACTGGCAAGCTTCAAATAGATAATAATGGACTTACAGATTTGAGATCAATCTCATTAAATGGTAAAATATGTATTATTTCAACTTTATTGTGCTTGTGTCTCACACAACACAACTAAAAGCCTTCACGTCTCATACAGATAAAGCTTTAAAAATAGCTTTTTAAAGAGGTAAAGTTACAGATGAAGTATTAGCCAAACCTAACATTTCAAAACCCAAAGGGATAATTCACATATATAAAATCTTGTTCATGATATATATAAAAACTAATAAGGGTAACACTTTGCACATTTATACAAATATTCTGTGCAGAGCGGTGGGTCGCCAGGACTGGAATTTACAATAAGGTTCTGTTTGTTAACATTAGTTAACTACATTCGTTAACATAAACTAACAATGAAAAATACGAATATATTGTAAATGTTAATTTTAATATTTAATAATTCATTTAAAAAAAATCAATAGTTGTATTTGTTAATATTATTTAGTGGACCTGAGTTAACATGAACTAACAATGAACAGCTGTGTTTTTATTAACTAACAATAAAAATTTATTTTTTTGTTAATGTTAGGTAATGCATTAACTAATGGGACCTTATTGTAAAGTGTTACCCTAATAATGTCTGTTCTTGCACTAGTTATGTATATAAGATCTGTATGTGTGAACTATATGTATGAGATTTATATGAGCAATGTGGATCATGTATGTACAAAACAAGGGTTGCTGGGAGATTGGAAATGCAGATGTTTTCGATTAGGTATAGAAGTGCTATAAAGCATATGCTTGATGTTATTTGGTTTTATTAAACCCAGCGGTATTTGTATCATGCTATGTTGTTGGGCTCATTTGCATTGTACTATACATAATGATTCATTTGTTTTTGGCTGGCTGCTTTTGCAAATGAACAAGCTCTTATGAAATATAGATGCTTTGTATGTTATGTTGATGTTAATGTGCAGTACTAGCCTTTAAATGTCATTTGCATGCATTAAACAGTGCATTAAAGTGTGTTATTATTTGATGTTAAACTTCTTTCTCCTACCCAAGTTTAAAGCTGACGTGTGTAAAATATTTTCTGCTATGCCAGCTTGCTTATATTTGCGCAGAGACAAGTATAAGTAAGCCATTTGTAGGTTGATTTCCCCGAAAAGTGTAAGCGCTGTGGTCTGTGGCACTTTCTGCATTGCACTGTTTGTTTGAGCGGCCTGACATAGCAACATTGACTCAACAAATGGTTTGAGTTTGGGGCGGCACTACCTGTTTGTCCGTTGAGTGGCATCTGGGGGGAGATGGGGGTGGAATGTTTACTAGGAAACATATTTTTGCAGTTTTATTGAGTGCAGACATTCTCAATATTTTTCCCAATTTGTTTTTACATAAAAGAGCTTCAGTAGCAAAAATTTAAATAGATTATTTTTGTGTCACTTTTATGAAATTGAATTTGTCATGTTTTTTTTTAACTCCTATAAATTCAGATTGACTGATTTATTATTGTTTATTATTCAATATCCTTACTAGACTCTCTTTTTGCTTGTTCCATAGAACAGAGATTACTAAACATTTTTATAAGCCGAACCCCTTTGACCTAAAATGTTTGCTTGAAGTACCCCCTGAGATTTTAATTTAATATTCCTTAATTTAACAACACATTAATTGTTGACAGTTCTATTATTTTGGTTAATGATGATAGGTTAATATATATATACAGTGGTGTGAAAAAGTTTTTGCCCCCTTCCTGTTTTTTTAATTGTTTGCATATTTGTCACACTTAAAAGATTCAGATCATCAAACAAATTTTAATATTACACAAAGATATCCTGAGTAAATACAAACTGCAGTTTTGAAATTATGATTTCATTTATTAAGAGTATTTCAACTTGTTACTCGCAATAAAAATTGCCATGTAAAGCAGGCATGGCGTTAAAACGCCAACCAACCAACCATGCATTGCCTGGGAACTAAAGTCATGATCTTGGCACTGCATGGCATATATTAGGTGTCCGTGTCTGGTGAGCAAAACTTTTTGGCATGTAGTCCATACCTATTAACTTTAAGGCCATCTATAAGTTTTTGACAAAATTAGCCATTGGCAAATATTTGCAAATGTAAAATTTGCAGTCTTTCTTTCTGGTAAAAAAAATAAAAAATACTGATTCATTCTGCGCTACACAAACGTTTGCCCAATCAAATCCTCTCTAGTGGAAGAACAACAGTGCCCCACTGAAAATATCTGTCTACTGCTGCTATACAGCGACTTGAGGTCATTGAGGCTTTTACCCAGTCCATTCAGAACTGCATTCCTAAATAGAAATATTCTCCACAAAGCCAAAATCTCAAAGGCAAAACACAACAGGCTATGATAGCCCTGCCTCTTTCTGTCTGTCTGTCTGTCTGTCAGTGTGCTCTGTTTCTATTCATCACAAAGTGCTTTTCAAACACTTTAAACCTTTGCCAACTGTTTTGTCTTTGATCTTGGGTTTCTGAATGTGTTTATTTGTGTGCCTCTATGTATCGTGTTTTGTGTGTATTTGTATGCATGTTTTTGTGTGATTGCTTGTGTTTGTATTTTGGGGAGTGTGTGTGTTTGTGTTAGCTGGATAATACAGCGCAGTCCTGCCATCATGTCTTATCCCGCAGTAACCCCCTGCATGAGCGTGTGATGTAAGGCCGCAGAGTTCCTGGCAGAGTGTGTGCGTCAGGGCCTCTCTGCTGCTGTGAGTCACAGACAAGACGAATGTGGGCTTTACAGGGAAAAGCCCTGGAGGTGTCATGCTAACCAACAAAAACCAAGCGATGTTTTGGGTAAAAAAAATAAAAAATACTGATTCATTCTGCGCTACACAAACGTTTGCCCAATCAAATCCTCTCTAGTGGAAGAACAACAGTGCCCCACTGAAAATATCTGTCTACTGCTGCTATACAGCGACTTGAGGTCATTGAGGCTTTTACCCAGTCCATTCAGAACTGCATTCCTAAATAGAAATATTCTCCACAAAGCCAAAATCTCAAAGGCAAAACACAACAGGCTATGATAGCCCTGCCTCTTTCTGTCTGTCTGTCTGTCTGTCTGTCAGTGTGCTCTGTTTCTATTCATCACAAAGTGCTTTTCAAACACTTTAAACCTTTGCCAACTGTTTTGTCTTTGATCTTGGGTTTCTGAATGTGTTTATTTGTGTGCCTCTATGTATCGTGTTTTGTGTGTATTTGTATGCATGTTTTTGTGTGATTGCTTGTGTTTGTATTTTGGGGAGTGTGTGTGTTTGTGTTAGCTGGATAATACAGCGCAGTCCTGCCATCATGTCTTATCCCGCAGTAACCCCCTGCATGAGCGTGTGATGTAAGGCCGCAGAGTTCCTGGCAGAGTGTGTGCGTCAGGGCCTCTCTGCTGCTGTGAGTCACAGACAAGACGAATGTGGGCTTTACAGGGAAAAGCCCTGGAGGTGTCATGCTAACCAACAAAAACCAAGCGATGTTTTGTTTTCTCTCTTGCTTATAGAGCTGCTAGTCTTTGACCAGTTGTCATAACATACCAGGACATGCACGGCCAGTCTAAAGATGTGCCGGAAGAGTGAAAAATTAACTTAAAGTAACTAGTTTGTACATTTTGCATTGCAGAAACCTTCAAGTATTGATCTAGCCAGTCCTGGCACAGGTGATACAGTCCAGGGAGTGTGCTTGCTTTCTCTTTCACTGAACTGGAATTATGCTTCCTAATGTTGGCTATTGCTATAATTGACCGGTCTTTGTTTGTTTCTTTCTTATTGACATCTGAGTATTTCCAGACAACATAAATAAAAAGCTGGTTACACATCATAACGTTAGCAAAGGTCCAATCTGGGCATTAATTAAATGGGTATCCAAAAATATGCATCTATCATAAAATACAGAAATCATCAACTATATTATATTATATTGTATTGCATTGTATTGTATTGTACAGTATTATGTTTTTATTGTTCAAAAGTCAGTACAATGCTTTTATTCAGCAAGAACACATTAAATTGATCGAAAGTGACTGTAAAAACATTTATAATGTTACGAACCGTGAATCCTGATTTTTTTTCAGGATTATTTGATGAATAGAAAGTTAAAAAGAGCAGTGTTTATTGAACTTTCTATTAATCAAAGAATCCTGAAAAATATCAATATTCACAGTTTTCACAAAATATTAGAATCATAATCAGAAATTAATATTAATTGATAATAATAATAATAATAAGAAGAAAAGGTTTCTTGAGCACCAGATCAGTGTTTTAGAATGGTTTCTGAAGGATCATGTGACACTAAAGACTAAAGTACTATAGACTGAAGTAATGGCTAGTGAAAATTTAGCTTTGCAATCACAGGAATAAATTACATTTTAAAATATATTAAAATAGAAATTGTACAATATTACTGTTTTCACTGTATTTCTGATCAAATAAATGCAGCCATGGTGAGCTTAAAAGGTCAACCTGGTGAGCTTTCTTTCATTTAAAACATTAAAAAAATCTTACCAACCCCAAACATTTGAATGATAGTTTATATATTTTATTAGCTGGGTTGTTATATGTTGTCATGTACAGTATACAGAAGTGCTGCAACTTTTGAACTTTTGGATTCATTGATTTGAAAATCGTATTTTTCCTCCACACTGTATAAAATTCTCTATAAAAGTTTCCAAATCTTTTGGCAGTGTCTGAATAATTTGAAGCTATTTTCTGTTCTCTGACAGCCATGGCCAAGTGTTTCCAATCTGGCTAAGGACTTCATTGACCGTGTCCTCACGGTGGATCCCACTGAGCGTCTGACTGCGGGCCAGGCACTTAAACATCCTTGGATTGTCAGCATGGCTGCTTCCTCCTCCATGAAGAACCTGCAGCGGTCCATTTCCCAGAACCTCCTGAAGAGAGTGTCATCATGCAGCCACAGCACCAAATCAGCACAGTCCACTCGCTCCAGCCGCTCCACGAAGTCCAGCAAGGCACGACGTGTTCGTGAGAAGGAGCTGCGAGAACTTAATCGCCGTTACCAGCAGCAGTGTAACGGTTGAGAGCGACGTACAAGTCACGTGACTGTGACAAACAAGACTTTGTGTACCTTACGAAAAACATCGGAGCAGAGCAACATTGTGCCTCAACTTAGATGTCAACTTCCTGCTCCATCACCACAGAGCCAATTAGCAGAAAACCTCCTTTTTAAACTTTCATTCATTTTCTATTTTTCTGCTGTTTCTCTCTTGTTTATTACCGTTTATGTGATTGTTTTATTTATTTATTGTTGATGTATTTTCATGTTTATGTTTTCTTTGGAAATGATCTCATTCAGCCTTTTACCTGATTGTATCTGTTGAACAGAATGTTACAGAAGTTGCTGGAAGGACTAAGAATATACCTTCCTGATTTTTGCTGTGAATTATTTGTTACGGTACCCACTGGAAGACTGCTCTTCTAATGGGGGAAATGTGCTGTTTATTCATTATTAGCAACAAATCACATCAACTTGTGATAGTTTATTGTGCCTTAATATCACTTTGAACATGATGGAAAGGTAAGAATCAAATAGTTGGTAATTGCTTTGGAAGTCACCACGTATATATCACATTTGTAATGATACACACATTGTAAACTCTTAATATTGCGGCTGTTTAGTTATGAGCCTTAAAGGGGTAGTTCACACAAATATGAAAATTCTGTCTTCGTTTGCTCACGAAAGGAGCAGAAAAGATATTTTGAAGAACTGTTTTTGTCCATACAATGAGTCCAAGTCAGTGGGGTCCAAAACAACAGTAGACATCATTGACTTTAATTGTATGGCCAAAAAAAACAAAAACAGATTTTCATATCTTTCTTTCATGTTCTGCAGGAATCAAGAAGTCATACAGGTTTTGAAATGACATGAGGTATGGAAGCTTGTTTCCAGCGCGGGATTAAAAAAAATGTAATTGCAATTTTTTGGTCTTACAATTTGGCTTTTTTAATAACCTCAGAATTGCAAGATATAAGAAAAAATCCATTGTGAGATAAAAAGTAGCAAATTCCGACTTTTTTGTAGGAGGATTTTAAAAAATGTAATTGCAATTTGGCTTTTTTAATAACCTCAGAATTGCAAGATATAAGAAAAAATCCATTGTGAGATAAAAAGTAGCAAATTCCGACTTTTTTGTAGGAAATGCGAGTATATATCTTTCTATTAAAATGTTTGAATTATGAACTCAGAATTGCAAGAAAAAAAAGTCACAGTTACCTTTTTTATTTTTCATTCTGTGGCAGAAACAGGCTCTCGTATGAGGCTGATAAGACAATGACAGAATTCTCATTTTTGGGTGAATACCTTTAAGTTGGTCCAAAATTATCAAAGAGCTCTACTTTGCCCAATATCTGTTGTTTATCCTGAGTGGGAAACAACTGTCCCTTTTTCTAGCCTTTTACTGCAACCCTACTAATGTGGACTCTGATGTTAATATCAGTTGTTAAAACCTGTTGGAAAAATACACAGAAAAATAGTGTTTCAGAATTGTCCAAGACTTGGCTTTAAGTCTTTAGATTTGGTCAGTGAACAAACCTACCGTGATTCTTGACTTCTACTCTTGGATCTGTCTGTACATGTGTTGTAGTAATTAATCATACTAACTGATATTGATTGCTCTCTCAGTATGGGCGGCCAGTATCGGGAAGCCCTGAATCAGAATCGGTTACTTTCTCTGTCACCAGCTGTTGTGCCTTGAGCAAGGCACTGAACCACCATGAAGGCCTTTTGGCAGCCTTTTCGCTCTCACCCCCTCTTTCAGAAACCAGTAGAGATGTGCCAAAGAAATTCCTGTGTGCCTGTATTAACAAGGAACATTTGGTGAGATCTCAAACATGATTCCTCATGAAAATAATTACTGTTAAAACTGTGATGATATGACGACTTCTCAAAATATAGTCTTAAATCTGTTCTTTGTTTTTTATAAAATCTTATATCAAAAAATTAAGGAGAAAGGGAATTTGTGTATTTGACTTGCGTTCCGTTTACAGATAACTTTACGAAAAAATTGCAACATCACATTGGTAACAGAATTTGAGTGCAGAAATATTCTCATTTTTTGGTTTCTTCCACATTCTCTTACTTTTAAGCTTGTGTTAGAAAACTTTAGAAAAATATATTTCCCTCTTTTTGGTTAGATTTATTGGTTAAATTCAACAATTTTTCAACCTGCAAAATGTCTTGGGTTCTTTTGTATAAGGATCATTTTAAAAGTACTAGAGATTTGAATCAGTTAAAGTTGCTGGAGGGTTCATATGTGAGTGTTAAGGCTGTCATACATTACTTGTTCATTTTAATTCAGTAGTATCCTCTAAAATCTTTCATAAAATCAAAAGAGACTTTGGGAAGACCACTGTTTGTATATGGCTTTATACCCCAAATATTTTTCTCTCTCAAGAAAAAAGCTATTTTATATGTACTTGTTAAAATTTATCCGATTTTCTCGCACGTCAAATTGAGGCTAGAAAAGAAAATGCTCTTAAAAGTGCAAAAATATTTTTTTTGATTTAGTATCACCAACATTCATGTAAGGAATGTGTGTTTGTAGCTATAGTTGAAATAAAACTGCAACTGTTGTCCATTTGTTGAATTCAATCCAAAACTTGTATCTTAAAAATAAGTGGTTTGTTCCTTCTTGTCAAATTTAATAAAGAACAATTATAGAATTCTTTCCAAATAGTGATGTGATATAAATATTTTGTAAAATGATGCAATTAAATAATCTAAAAACAAATGTCACGACATGGTCTCACTTTAATGAATATATTTGCACCTATTTGTTAAACTCTTTAGGAAAATCAATTCAAATGAAGACTGCTATACCATTTTGTTTAACATAAACTATATGATTTACAATACACAAACTGATAAATTTTCCTTTAATATGGATGGGACACAATTTAGTCACGTTAGTCACTGTTATCTCTACGAAGCAAGATGTTTTGACATTGTGTAAACTGTTCAACTGCTGTGTGGGGTTTGTTTAACTGTCAAATTGCCTGTTGTAAAGGAAGACACAAAATGGTGATTCAGTGGTGAATTTAATAGTCATGATGTTCAGCCATGACGTCAATTTATAGGCCAACTGGTTTCTGATTTATTAGTAAAATAAGGTCTGTGGTTAATGGGATAGTTCATGCAAAAATTGTTGGATCACTTGCTCACTCTCATGTCATTTCAAATCAGTTTGACTCTCTTCTGCAGAACACAAGAAATATACTTTGAAGAAGGTTGGGAACCAATTTCCATGGTATGGAAAAAGAGACGTTTCCCAAAATAGCTTCTTTTATGTTCCAGAGAAGTAAGTCATGCAGATTTTGAAAGAAATGATGGTGAGTAAATACTAAACAATGACAGAATTTTTATTTTTGGGTGAACTATTCCAACAATACTGGGGTGGGGGACTTTGTCCTTTAATCTAAATTAGTCTACAGTCAATCCTCAAATATAAGACATTAAATTTGGAAGCCACTGTGTTTAAAAAAAAAAGTAAGTTGCTATTCAGCAGCATTTTACTGGAGAAAATACAACGAAAAATCAGCTTTGTGATAAAGAGATAACTAAATACTTGACTGGAGAAAGACTGGACTTTTATTTTGAAGAATAAAAATAAAAAAATCATGGCGCCATGAATTCCTGTGACTGGCTTCACGTTTAATCTCAGCGCCAGAAAGGTCTGTACAGTTATCAGAAGCTTTATATATAATTGCATAATTATTATTTTTATGTATAGTCAAATCTGTATTTGACAGTATTGTTTTGTCTCATATTATTCTATGTTTTATTTTAATTCGTTGGTGGCGTAGCTAATGCAGTCTATTGCAAAGAGACTTTGGTCTATTGTCAGTCTTGCTGAGTCTGAAACAACGGACAAGATTCATCTATGAATAATTATTTAATGAAGCACAATTCCTTTACTTAATTCAGCCACTGTCTGTTGAATGTCACCCTCTCCTGCTGAGTATTTTGTCTTTTACTGTATGTACTTTCCCTCAGGTTCAGAAACAAATATGCAGCCTGCTTCACACCTACTTCAGTATGATACTCCATTCCACGTTGTCTAGTTGGTTTATGAGTCAACTTATATAAACAGTTATGGAATCTCAGACGGGGAGAGGCAGCTCATCAAATAGCGGCAGTGCCAGGAGACTCTCAGTGACAAAGAAAAAGAGCCAGAAGGTCAGTGCAATCAAAGAGAGAACAAGCAATGGAGGTGGGATTGCTTCCATAACTTCATTTTTCAGGAATACACCACCGTGTAAACTGGCATGTCCTCTGTGTGGCAAACTTGTACCTCGTTACAAGATTAATGAACATATAGACTCTCAGTGTCAGAGGTTTCTTGGAGAGGATCTTGAAGATGCACTGGCTGTCAGTGACGATAAGCAGGAGAAAATAACCAACACACCCTCTAATGGTGCAGTAACTCGAAATGATGGGAAAGAGAAAAGCCCAGGAGAGAAAGATGCTGATACGAGTCCGTATTTTAAAAAGAACTGTGTGATGAGGCAAAATTCATCTGAAACAAATTTACAAGCAAAACCGGTTAAAACGGTTGGTCTTGGAAGTTTGTCCTCTAAACTGTCTAGAAGAGCACTTAGACTTTCAGGAGAATCTGAGATGGATCATACTCATGTCTCTGGAAAAGAAGAGACCCATGATGCAGAACTGAGCAGCTCACAAAAGGAAAACTGCATGAAGAGTTTAATTTTTGAATCTAAATCCGGTGGCATGGATACAGATAACACATTCCCAACAGAGCCAGTGGCTTCAAACCAACCTCAAGTGAAAAGCATTGAGAAATCTGTGACAGTAATGGCAGAATCAAGCAGCAGCGCTGACATTCAGTCAGTGAAATCTTCATCGTCATTCAGGGTACGAAAGCGGAAATCAGAGGAGTTGCCTAAAAATGATACAAACACTACAGAAACCTCCGTCATACATAAGAAAAGTAGATATAAAACTGAAAACAGACATGAAACGAATGTCAAGTCAGATCAAACTGAGGCCTCGTCTGATGTTGTTCCATTATCAGAGAGTCAAATCAAAAGCAAGACCACAAACAAGGACACTGAGAGGAAGCCCAGTACCACACCAGCCAATGAGTCCGAAGCCCTAGGCGTAGAGAAAGCCAGCGAG